TGACTAACCAACACTAACCCACACACACAACGCCTGCTCAGACTGAAGGAGGGCACATGGGCAGGGCTCTCACCTTCCCACTTTGGAAAGGTGCTTTGATGTGCCCTTTACAAGACGGCTAGGAGGGGCCCAGACGGCATGTGCTTACAGCTCTCGGCTGCTGACCAGAAGGTCAGTCGTCTGATCCGCCAGGCGAGGCAGTCTGCTCCCATGGAGATCTGCAGCCTTGGAAAGCCTATAGGACCATCCTACTCTGTCCAATGGGGTTGCTGTGAGTCAGAACTGATCTGACGGCAGTGGGTTTAAGAGACAATAAATAGATCCAGTCGCTTCCCCTCATCCCCCAGCTCAAAGCTCTGAATGAGTTTACATTTTCTCTAGTCTCTAGAACCAGGGTGGGGAATGTCCAGCCTGAGGGCCATATGGTGGTGGTGGTGGTGGTGTGCTGTGAAGTCGGTTCTGACTCACAGCCACCGTGTATAGGATTTCCAAAAAGGCCCGTGAATCACTTGGTTTGCTCCTGTCAAGGCAACTGTGGTTCCAGCCATCTCATATATTGTTGTTGTTAAGTGCCATTTAGTCAATTCTGACCCATAGCGACCCTGTGTAGAGTTTCCGAGGAGCAGCAGATGGGTTTGAACTGCCGACCTTGTGGTTTGCAATCCAGCGTTAATGTTTGATCAAATACAGCAGGGTAATTTTTAAGCAGATGGTTTCATTTGTGGCCCGTGAATGATGTGAGGAATTTTGGCACTCCACACCTGCTCTGGGGGAGGGGGAGGGGGAATTCCCCTTGATTGTGGTTGGAATCTACTCAGCAGCGCTTAGGAAGAAAGGCCTGGAAATCTACTCCAATTACACTGATAGCCAAGAAAGCCCCAAGGGACAGTTCTATGTGGTCTCCCTGAATGCAAACGAAGCGTAGATAGTCCTATCTGTTTACTGAGTAGCAGATGGCTGCCACCAGAAGGATGGCTCAGAGCAGACGGCAGATCTCTGTGTCATCTCAGCCCAGCAGTCTGTACGGGTGCTGAGTGGCTGGTCATGTGAGAAGGAGAGAGTTACGCAGTCTCAGATGCTGCCTAGGTGGCAGGGCAATGAGTGACATCTAGACAGATGACTCCATTTAGAACAGCAAACCTTTCTGCACGTGTGGTTGTAATATACGAGTACGCACGCTTAGATCTGCATCTATGTTTTGGTCTGTGCACCCTCTCTGCTCATGAACACTCTTTCCTTGAGAACAACTGAAAACATTCACATTTACCTAGAAGTTAGTTATGTGGGAAATTTAGGATCTCTTATTTTGGAGCCCACAAAGGGGCCAATTCTGGGAGTGCATACGGAGCATCAGAAACTCTGGCAAGCAGACAGCCCTCAGCAAGGGGATTGGTGGGGTCCAGGAGCAGGCCTGGAACTAGGGCAGGATGTCAAAGGGTCCCAAGGAACTTGATTTCTGGTTGGAGGTATACTTGTTAGAGGCATTTTTTGTAGCTCCTAACCTCTGAGGTCATGGATCAAACAATATTATTCTTGGATGCTTCTCCTGAAACTGCACAGTGCTGTTTTATTAAGTTTTATTATTTTGTGAAAGCCAAACCCAATCACAGATGTGACTTTTCTCAGCCAGGCGATCCTAGGCTTTAGTACCTGCTGTTCACTTCCTGGTCTGGCGCTGTAAGATCAGTATTGGACTGTGAACCACAAGGTCGGCAGCTCAAACTCGCCAGCTGCTCTTCAGAAACCCTCGACAAGGTCCCTATGAGTCGGAACCGACTTAGCAGCACTTAACGACAATAACAACAACGTAATCTTCAAGGTTTATATTTTGTACAAGCAGGCCCTGGTGATTTGTGTCCGACTTACGTACAACCTGTACTTATGCACCAAACTTCAGGAAGCCTCATGCATTAAAAATACAAGTTACAGAACATGGTTTGTAATAATAAACTGCCAGGTACTACTCTGCAATGTGCATCAAAACACAATTGTTACTAGTACTGTAAAATTATGTTAAAGATGTTTTATCGTACCTGGAAGTGTTTCTTTAATGATTTTTATGCATAGAAAGGGGCACTGTGTACTAGATATTAAGACACACATTTGATTGAGTTTAACTACAAACTGTACCTAACTGTTCTGACGTCTGCACAAATTCAACTTAAAAGACATGCTTAAGAATAGAACATGTTCACAGTTTGGGGACTGCCTGGAACTTTATCCTCCAAAAGCTAGAACTGAAATGTAGCATGGCAAAAAGACCTCTACCCAACTGGATTTTCCTGCATTTTCTTCTACAGTCGTGTTTCTTAGTAAGAAAACGAGCGTGTCACTAGACCGAATGAAGTGCACTGGGCCTGGACTTGCTGTGTGGACAAGCTGTGTGGGCACGTACACCTTTGAGCTGGGACACAAGTTTGAGCACATGACCGTGCCCTGAAGCAGCGGGTCAGTACGCTACGGCTGTGCCTTTAAAAAAACCACAGAAACAAAACCCGATGCATTCAAGACCGTGTTTGGAGAGCTTATCTGCCCTTTTTGCAAACAGAGAATTTCTCCACTGGGGTGCCCTCCAAGTGATGATGGGAATTCTGGGTTGGAAGTGCATTATTAAGGAGCAGCCCTGATGTCAGCCTAAATTTGCCTGTGTTCTTTCTGGAGGGAAATT